GGAGGGGACCGGCCGAGCAGGAGACCGAAACTCTCCCATTTCACCGTAACTGCAGACTGTAATAATCAGCTCTGCAGTGCAGACTCTCCCCCGCTCCCATATAAAAGGCCCCCCGCTGGCATGGGGCCACCTCCCCATCCGAGGTGGAAATATAGCTACAAATTCTAAGGAGAGCCATGTTCAAAGTAGAGTCTCCTTTCTAAACCCCTAAAAAAAAATCACACCCACTGACCGTGGGGTCATCAGTGGATGAATCTGGCAAAGAAATCACTGCTTCATTTGGCCAAAGCCGTCCCCTTCATGTGTGTGCAGCAGGGCCGGGGTGGATGCGATCTGCACGCCTTGCAAAGGCCCCCCCTGCTCGGGCCGGAGGGGAACACACCAGACCCCGTGTCCTGTTCAGCATTTGAGCGGATGCCAGCGCTCTGCGGGCTGAGTATTAAGCCTGCACCCGCTTGTATTTTTCCAGACTCGATGAATACCAGCAGCTAAAGATAGCGCGGTAACATAACACTTCAATCACAGGGCTGTGTGTGTGTGTGTGTGTGTGTGTGTGTGTGTGCGTGTGTGTGTATTTTAAGGAAACTAAATTAAACATTTGAAACATAGTCACAGAACAGGAACAGGAGAAGCCAACCTTGGATAAATGCATAGGCCCAAGGAAGAAAGAGATGCATCGTAATGCAAGAGCAGAGGCCGGAAGGGAGGACCTTCCACAGCCAGCACGACCAGTAAATTGGCTTTTTGTGGCCTGAACTAATGACACCTCATCTTCTGCCTCTGCTTCCCCCGTACCTGAAACACAAGAAAAAGGACGTTGCACGCATCGCTACTCGTGGGCAGGCCATGAGGATTCACCGGTGGGATGCTGGGAAAAGCCAATGCACGTCAGGTCCGCCCTGGCCCAGGCAGCCCCGAGCTGCTCTTATTTTGTTTTGTCGCTGTTGAGACAACTGCAGGCTAGAACGATTTAAGCTAAAAATAAAGACATTATTATAGCTGATCTCAACACAACAGGTACTTGGAAGTGGAAAATGTGAGGGAGGCTTAAGATGCTAGTGGTGGGCGCGGTGCTGGGCATGTAATCCCTCTGCATCGCTTCTGCTTTGTAAAGAAACAACGCCCAATCCTGCAGCAGGGCTCACGTCCCCTGTTAAATGTCTGTGACAAAATGGCACACGAGCTCGGGAACAAGAAGACGCTTCCAACTGGAAATCAGTGTCACATCCCCAAAGTGAGCAGAGGTGCCCCTGGCCTTCAGTGTCCAAGGCTCCCTGCACGGGGCTGAGCCACAGAGACGCCACGTGGGTGAGGTCACTGGTCTTCACACGGGCTGGCATTTACCTGGGTCACTTTGACAGGACACACAGCACAGTCCCCCCCAGGACCCACCAGACCCATCTCTTCTTGTTTCAGCCACGTTGAGGGAAGCTCTCGGGACTGCTAACATTATTCCAAAGGTCCTGATTGTAAAGACTAACCATACACCATCTCCCAAAGCCAGCGTGCTCCATGTGGATGAAGATTCCCTCGGAAGAGAGCGGGGTGCGCGGCGACAACACACGTGCCTCGTTTGGAAGTAGGTCTGCTGCTTAGAAGACACTGCTGCTCTTGGAGGGGATTTCAGAATAAATGAAGGTAGAACGTCTGATGCTTCTTGCCTCAGAATTCAAAGAAAGCTTATGTTCCAGAAAGCACATTCCTTACCAATTGGATTCACCTGATTTCAGACCAAATCCAAGTAACAGAGTCTGAGAAACTAAGCGGTCAAGGGTGCACCAGACTTAGAATTTTTTCTGGCGTCATACTCACCGCTTTGAAAGGCAATTCTCCCTCTAAATGTATCCAACATGGTGGGTTTTTTTTGTTTTTTTTTTTACATATATATACATTCTTTTTCTTATTCTTTTCTGTTATGGTTTATCACAGGTTATTGACTATAGTTCCCTGTGCTCTACGGTAGGACCTTGTTTATTCATTCTGTATATGATAGTTAACCTCTGCATCCAACATGTTTTAAAATCTCAACTAAATCTCCAGTATGATTTTGCTCTAGGGATCTGAGAAATTGCAGAAATAATGCACCCCGTGCCCCAGTGACTGAGATCGAAAGTTCTAATGCTCAGGGTGGCAGGGAAATGTCTTCTGGGGTGTGCACTGCTGCGGGGAGTGGGCTTGCCTACCCCCTGGGCCGCAGCTCTGGGTGCCCCCGGCCCCGCGAGCCTGGCAGAGGTACTCAGAGTCCTGTGTGGCGGCTTCCCCTCCCCCAGAGCCACCAGAGTCTCCTTAGGGGTCCAGGCATCAGAACTGCTGAGTTTTCCAAAAATCTTCTCAAAGCAGCAGCAACCGCAGCAGTTTTCCTGCAAAGCAAACAAAATATGACTCTTGTTAATTCAGCAGGGCTTTTAAAATTGTAATTAGTTGGTTGTGCCCCTTAGGGAAACCACAGATGACTTTTTATAATGTATGTGTGTCTGTGAGGGAAAAAAAAGAAACCCCTTGAAGGATCCCACTGCTTACCAGAGCTGGGTGGCTTTTTTCTGTTGTTGTCGTTTTAGTTTATGCAAAAAGCTATTTTAATACTATTTGCCATGGCGAAGGACAAGACCTCTTTGTTTCACCTGAAGCACAGCCAGTGCCAAAGCTGCTGCCAGCTTGATTCGCTTCAAAGTGAGGCTGGGCTGCATGTGGGAATCTTCCCACGTGCTTTACGACCACATGTGACCCAGGGCCGCATCTATCGATACATCATACAGATGTATGATGTACATACAGATCTGAGGGCGTGTCCCCAGTGCATGTCTCACGGCCTCTGGCAAAGAGCCACGGAAACGAGAAACGAAAACGCCACCTGGTTGATTTTTAGAGCGTTTCCTCAACCCATCCAAAAACCTCTAACCGACTGCAGGAGATTCCTAGGCCTCAATTTACATTGCGGATTAGGCCTTATCGTAAGGCCTGGGAGCCTCCTTTTTCCGCAGGAATCATCTTCAACCACCAGATTTTAAAAATCAATATTATCTCAAAATTGGTTTTACTCATATTGTGTCTTGCCAAAAGCCCTATCTTAGCCTGGCAGGAAAGATTGTGAAGAACGTTCTACTTTTCTAACACAACACTCTTCTCAAAGGAGTCTGCTCCCAGAGTAAATATCTGAAGCTTACGTTTTCATTTGAAAAAGAAAAAACAGTGGGAAAGTAAACCAGGAAGCACCCACATCGCAGGGACATGCAATGGTAACGGGTGGGTTTGTGTGGCCCCTGGAGGGATTGGGGGACCCGGGAAAGGAAGGCAGCCAGCCCGAGCGGCTGGCGGGAGGCAGACCCGGCCAAGTCTGGCGAGGTCTCCCCGAGCATCTCCAACAAAGATGCCGTCTCTCTGCGCCAGGGTGACCAGATCAATGCTTCTGTCTTTGTCCTCCGCATGCCTGGCACTGCCTGGCTGCTGCCACCCTCCATCGCCCTGGGCTTAAGAGCCAACCTCCTTGGAAGGACTCAGCCATCTCCCACCGCCTTTTCCCCTCATCCTTCCCCCCCCAGACCCTGGCAACAGGCCTGCCTCTCTGTCCCCCACTGAATTCCTTCCCTCCAGGCCTCCAGAGTCACCCCAGTGCTTATGGTGGGAAGCTGGTTTGTGGTCAACCCTTGGGGTTTGTGGTCGCTGGGGACGAAGCTGCCTCTGGGAGGGATGGAGGGGGGAGAGAAGGACCGACCAGGCCCAGCTGTGTGCGGACGCCAGGGCTCCCGGCTCACGGTGAGGCCGGGCTGTAGCGCATCCCAGGCCCCGGGGCGCGGGGCGCCCTTGTCCACACTGTCACCAGACACAAAACGACTTCCTCCTGTGCCCAAACCCTGAGGCCTTGCTATTTTGGACAGACAAGAATGGTCTCTGTACGTAGAAAGCAAAAGCATCCCTGTTGACTGCTCATCAATCTCTAAATAAGTGACAGAATCCTCAGTAAGTGACCCTCATACCAAAGGCTGAATGCTTGCTAATGCTGGTTCGTGACTTTTATGATCATTTACTGAATTATTTCTGTTCTACCCGATCTTATTCTATAACAGATTCGAGGCAGCTTACAAGAATATATACAGTCAAACAGACAAAAAAAACCCTCAGGACCAGAGTAAATATGAATCAGAATAAGAGATTAAGGTGAGTGGGCAGCAAGAATGCAGCCTCACAAGGCACGAGTCCAGCAGAGTTGCTGAAGCCGAGCTGCACAGCCGGCCGTGGACCTGCTGCCCGAGACGAGGGAGCTGGCTGGCCGGGGGGTGATTGTCTCCCGCACCGGATGCAAACGCTGGGATTTCTAAAAGTCCTCTGTAATAAGTACACTTCCCTAGGCCTCTCCTTTAGGCCATAAATCAGGCCATTTATTGATGTAACAGAAGATATTCACATGTAAAACTCTCTCTCTGAATAATTCTGACAAAATTCTAAGCAGGGCAGAGGCTTTGTATGAAGATGTGGGTCCTTGGGGTCCCAGAGTGGGTCCAGACCCGGAGACAGCTCAGCGGGGAAAAGCAGCGTGAGCTTTAGGGTAGGATCTCCCTCTACCACTGACTAGGGGCGTGGTCTTGGGGGGTTAATCCTAGGTATTCCCATCTCTACAAAGAAGATATTATTTCCCCTGATCTCACACGTTGTTGCAAAGACTCCTAAGGACCGTTTCTGTGCAGGTGTTACTTCCTGAGCACCTACTGTGTGCCAGGCCCTGGTCTCCGGGCTTTGCTTGGATGATTTCATTGGAGCCACTCAACAATCATAGGAAGTGAGACTATTTCTGGACCACAAATCTGGAACCGGAGGTTTCTGCACTAGAAAATGGCAGACGGGGTGCAAACACAGCAGCCCGGTTTCAGGGCCGCCCCCAGAGGAAACGCTGCCCCGCTTCCCACACAGTCAGATGGCCCTTCTCTCCTCTCTCCTCTCTGGGCTCAAACGCCTCTTCAGGAAAAGGCCCGAGACCAACCTTTCAAGAGGGCGCCCTCCGGGGACTATTTGGCCACCAGGTCCTGGGCGTCAGAGCAGCAATTCTTCCTCTTCTAGGAAAACCAAGGAGAGAGTTTCGAGAAGGATTAGAACCTTTCATCAGCTCCTGACTTGAGATCTGACAACACTTGAAGAGGCAGTGACTTGTCACCGGGTATGTCCTGCCCTTGCAGAGACGTCCCTGGAGGCTGAACGGCTGACGGCCTCTTACAGACGCACCAACCGGCCCCAGAGTCCAGCTCGAGGGCATCCCCACTCTCCCCTAAAGCTCCGTCATCACCACCCTTCCCCTCAGAGTCACAGACAAAGAGCTTTGTACCCCATGACACTTGACTTTTACACGTGTGTGTTTTGTCAAAACTCATGTCGACAAATGCTCACTTCGACAAAGCACAAGAGTAAGACAGACTGACCAAAGGATGAGTCAGACACAGACACTGCTTTTTCCAGATGTTCTCAAATCCAGCTGACAAGATTTAAGTGCCAGGGCAGAATCTCGAGAGGACGGAGAGAGCGTCCCCAGTTTGGGGCTTGAGAAGGCCGTCCTGGAGGAGGTGGCAGTGAAAGTGGGCCTCAGACACTGGCTGGGATTCGGGCTGATCCGGAAGGAGCTGTGGGGATAGGGCTGGGAACCCGACCTCGGGATTCACTGGGGCCCGAACTGCTGGGTGTGCGTGTTCATGGTACACGAGGGGAAAGACTGGAAGAGTTTTTGATCAGGGAATCATGTAATCGGAGCTGTAATTAACGAAATGATGATTTGGTGAATTAGAGAAGAGAGTGGGCGGAGCTTGAATATCAGCTCCAACGTTATCCTATTAGCTCACTAAAGGGGAAGAAGGGAGTGAGCTGAGGCAGGTGCACGGGGACGGAAAGGAAAGGTGGAAGGTCATTAGCTCTGGGAAGAAAGAATCATGTCGCCTTTGTTCAGTTTTCCTTCCTCTGGCCACAAAGCATGGAATACAGGAGGTGCTTGCTAAGTTCTCACAGATTTGCAGTGAGGCTCTGCTCCGTCCCAGGTGAGAGCTGTTTCTGATGGAAGATGGGTTACGTGTGGATGGTGACACAGAGCAAAGGTGGGAACCTCAGCCTTGTAAGCGTAACAGAGAAGGCAGAGAACTTCAGGGCCTCGGCGCCTAAGAAGGAAAATCCTTCCTAAATTCACTGACCACAGTCACGCTCAGCAGTTCAGAAACAGGAAGTGCTTTTAAGCACGAAATAATTAAAAGGGGTAAACGTTTATTAAGAAAACTTTTAAAAATAGAATTTAGATTTAAATAGTTTGGGTAAGCGTTAAATTTTCAACATAGAGTTGAATTCTGATTCTATAGAACATAGAACCAAGATTATTCCAGAGATGAGTCTTCTGGGAAAAATTAGTCTCAATATTTCACTGAAAAATAAACTATATCGAGCTTGAGTGTTGGCTTTCAGTAACAGCAACGATGTCCTACAAGGATGGTTCTGGAATCGTCACAGCAGGATGGCAGAGTGGGGACCCTCGTCCGACTCCCGAGCCTGCTGCCTGCCTGGGATGCTGGATGAGCCCATAACCCTGTCCTCAGCGGCCTCGTCCACATAACGGGGATGATAACAGCGCCCGTTTTGGAGGCTTGGCCTGGGGACCAAATGAGCTAATTTTCATAAAGCAGAACGGTGCCTGGCACAGCGCTGTATAATTATAACTTTCATGGAAACTAACTGGATTTATACAATGGAAGTTTTAAAAAATCCTCACTGTTCTTGAAATGTCTATTCACCTTAGGTACCAGCCGTTGGATAGAATAACAAAAAGGTGATTTTTGTTGTTGTTGTCATTATATGGTTTAAAAAATATTTTTAAACACTTTTAAACTGTATAATGTCATTAATTATCTGCTGTGGTTTCCATATTGTCGACCACGTCAAAGTGTATTTGGACACCAATAAGCTTGGATAAAAATACATCGGTGGAAAATTGGCCCAGAATAGGTTGGTAACCCTAATAAGCAGTTTATGCAGTCTGGGTGAGGTACCTACTAGGGAATAAGCCTATTTTTACTTGACATCAGTACCAATTATCAAGGAAAGGTATATTCAGACACAAATAAAACTACTGATGCTGAATTTAGAAGTGCAGTTGATTTCAATAAAAACTGGATGTGGAAAAAATGAGTACTTGGAGCATAGTCATCCCAGGGTTTTGGTCAGTGGAAAAGCTCCATTCCAACGCCCCAGGAGGTGCAGGAGCAAAGGTGGAGGAAAGGAGAGTGTATCAGACACATCCGGCACCAGGACACGACAGCAGCCGTCCCAGCTGCTACTCACGCCAGGCCCGCATCCCCAGAGAGGCCTGACGGCCTGTGCTCTTGCCCTGTTGACCACCCTGAATATTCAGCAAAGCTACTTAAACGTTACACATCTGCTTCTGTGTTATTGGTGTATTCCACAGAATTCGGAAGGAGATGGTCTGAAGGGGGCTGTGATAGTAATTCAGGTGACAGGCGTCCCGGGCAAGATGACCACTCAGACGGAGAGGACTGTACAGATTTCAGAAATAATTGGGGAAAATCATGTATAGAAACTTGGAGATAAACTACAGATGAGATGAGGGGATTGAGGGAGAGGAGGGAAGCAAAGAGATGCTCTGGGGTCCAGTTGAGGCCATTCGGGGGAGGTGCCGCTCTGGGAGGATGGTTGAGAATGAGGTGAGGGCGGGGCGGGGTGAGTTCCATTTAGGGCTGAAAACATCCACGTGGAAATGCCCAGCACACAGGTGGCTGTTCGGATCTGAAGCTTAGGAAAGGAATCTGTGCTGAAGAGGCGGACGAGGAAGTTGGGGTGTAAACAGTAATTAAGGCAAAGAGAGCCAACGGGGACTCCATTCAAGGAGTGCCCACAGGGCACCGCTCAGTTACTCTGAACGTACACCCCAGGCACCTTCATCTAGTCTTTGGCAAGAGTCTCCTTCACACGTACTTGTATTGATCTCTTGACCAAGCTGAATATCACAGGTTTTTGGCACCCAAAGCAGACTAAACCAGGTAAGCACAGAAGTTAGAATTCTGAGTTGTGTTTTAAGGAGAATATTTACCTTGAATGTACATTAACAGGTGTTCTCCAAAGCTTTACCTGTTTATATACCCTAGGCTATATGTGTGCATGGGCACAGTTACAGTGATACAATTCACTTTGTAATGGATACAGTAATTAAATAATAAATGTAATAAATAATTCTGCTGAAAATAATGCTCTACTAAACAATGTAATTAGCATTCATTAAAAACATAAATTGCTCAATAAACACATTTTAAGCAATTTAACACTTTAGCACAAGATTTGAAGCCCAAGAGGAATTAATTAGAAAGAAGTTCACTCAAGGCTAAGGTGCCTCTGGCATCTGATCATGGGAAGATTGAAGCCGACTAGAAAAGAGGGGAGGCCGGGAGCCACGGTTACCTGTGCGTTGAGCCTGGAGCGGAGCTTGTGATCCGACAGCCAAGGGTGCCTGAGAGCTTCACTTGCGCTTATTCTCCAGCTAAAGGGAAACGCAGGGGGTTATTGTATCCCCTGCGCTTAGATCCTCCCCTGACTCTCTCTCACATAATAGTCTAGGGCTGGCCTGGCTCCAAACACGGCAAAAGAGACCTCGGCTCTGACCACTGCCTTTGGGAGACCAGATGGCCGAACGTCAAGGACAAAGCAAGGCAAATAATTCAGAATTCTTGTTAATAACTGAACATTTATCTTCAGATAGAAGTAACCATTCTTGATGGAATGTCCGAGCTTCATAAATTGAGCTTCTCTCAAGTCAGTTGAAAAATCAACATATATTTATTAATATAAGACAAAATTCTACTATGATTCTTGATGATTGCAAAAGCAACTTATGTGTCAAAACTTTTGAATAATATGTATTGCTAATGTTTGAATTAAGAAGTTTTGAGAGTGAAATAAATGGAGAAATAGATGGGACGTCAATGTAAGTACTGAGAGAGAGTATATTAGAAATTCTTGAGCCAACAAAGGTTTATACAATTAAAAAGTATATGAGGAAGAATCATAAAGATTATATATCATAATTTTAAGCTTTGTAAACCTGTCTTGTGTACCAATGTTTGTCACATTAAACAACATAACCTTTTCAAACTTAAAAATTATGAGTGAGTGTAATAGTCTGAAGTCTGCTTCTGAAACAGTATCAAGAAAGTAGTTTCAGGCAGTCACGAAGTTCAGTCTGTAGAATTTTGCTTCAATAAAATTGCTTCATTAGACACCAAATATTTAAGTATAAGAGGAGGATGTAATGGAAAAGAACCTGAAAAAGAATATCTACGTGTAACTGAATCACTTTGCTGTGCCCTCGAAAATAACAGCATTATAAATTAACTACACTTCAATTAAAAAGAAGAGGAGAGAAGCCTTTACTTTAGTCAATGAAGGATAACTTGGTGACAACGTCACCAGTAGGACCCTGAATGAATAGATATAATTAAAAAAAAAACAACTCTGGACCTCCACCAACTTCATTTGGAAGAGTTATTCTGTTGATTTTACCATAAATTTTCCGTGTTGGACCTCGGAAGCATTCCAACAGCTGACAGTGCTAAAAAATTATCCCTGCACTCCAGTGTCAAACTTTCAAGAGCTGACTATTAAAAAGTTAACTATAACACTGTACTAATAATTAAATATTTAATACAATTCCAAGTTTACTTTTGTAGCCCAGAAATTTATTCTATGATAGTAATGGTTGTCATTGGCCTCGGTTTCATTCGTGCACTGACTTGAATGCTTAGCCAGTTGTTTTTCTGCCCAAACATGCAATTGTTGCTCTTTAGGTAAAGAACGAAGCCCTCAGACTGAGGGTGGGCAGAGCAAGGGTGCTGGAGCCCCTGAGCCAGCTGGGCGGCTGCTTCCCTGCTCTGAGCCTCAGCTCCCTCATCTGTAAAGTAACTGTGACAGCATCCACATGCCACAGGATCAGCTGGAGGATTAAACCAGCTGACACATAAGAGCCCATGTGTAACATAGGTTCTCAGTAAGTGTGGATTTCTCAGCCTCCAAAGATTTGACGGAGATGACATTTTGCATCTGTTCTCTGCTGGCATTCAGCAATGTACAGACAGCGATGCTGGTTACATCATCAGCGATGCTGGTACAATATACAGACAGTGATGCTGTCTTTCCTTATCTTTCTTGGCTCTAAAGAGCTCTCCAATTGACACTCCAGCCGGGCTAAGCCCTCCTCACCTTTCAGGCTCAGTTCTGGCCCGTGTCAATACACTCCATCTTTAATAAATGTTAACCACATTTCACCGCCTCTTTGAAAATATACCTGTGTCTTCTATTAGCTTGTGCCTTGATTAAAGGCAGGGACTGGGCTCTATACATCTGTTCTCAAAGCCCCAGACGTATTTCCTGGCAGCTTGGAGATAGTCAGTGAGGTGCTGCATGAAGCAGTAAGTGTGTCAGGCTCTGCACCAGACCCGTTACCCCTGCCGTTCCCTGACCCCCATCACCCCCATGGTTCTAAAATGCAGAAGCCCCTATATTTTAGTATCACCACGCTTCATCCACTGAAGTTTGAATTATGTGATTTTAGCAGGGCAGAAAAATAGAAGTCCACGTAATACATAACAGTTAAGCGCATGGCCTTGTGTTGATCATCCGTTCTGCCACTTAAGTAGCCGTATGATCTTGGAGTCTCATGCATAGAATATTACTGATAATTTCCACCCATGGGGCTGGGTGGGGTTAAAGAGATAATGTCTGTAAAGCAGTTGGCACAGTCTGGTCCATAGCAGGCTCTCAAATGAAATGATCGTCAAGTGTTCACCTACATGGAGCCACATATGCCTCGTAGATGTGAAAGGGATCATGGGAATAACTTGTCCCGAACCCTTCATCTGGAGGGTGAGTGCACAGAGGCCCAGCAAGAGACCCTAACTGCCTTGTTGGAAAAGGCAGAAGGATGGGTTTTTGCAGCCCCATTCAAGCCTCGTGACCACGGCAGTCCCAGATCTCAGGAAACTGGCTCAAGAGCATCAGACTCATTCTCACTACGACTCTCTCTGTTACCCCTGCTTCTTCCTGAGCACAGAGTGGATGTGATCACCTCTTCTCCTTGATCAGAAGCTTGGAGATGAACCCCCGGGCCTCCTCCGAGATGTCCTGAAATTCTTCATCCTCCAGATCCCACCTGCAGGCCAGGATGTTGTTCAGGGTCTCGGCGTCGTTATCTCCCAGGAAGGGGGACAAACCGCTGAGTCTGTAAGACATGGAGTCTGGGTTGAGTGGTCTTTAAACACCTTCAAACCCTGTACAGATAAGTTGCCTTCCTGGTTCTGTCCTTTAAACCTGAAAGAAGGCAAATCATCAAGAATTAAGCATAATTTTATAATATGTTTTTGCAATCGAGAGAATGCTATGTCTCCCACCCAACTCCTAACTTAAACAAGGTCACAATGAAGGCGGCAGCTACCCTCAGATACGAATCTCAGAGAAGAGTAAAACTGCCTTTTTAAAGCACTTTACAGCTAGCAAAGTGCTGTCACATCCGCAGACGGCAACCGCCAGGAACGTCACTTCTGAAGAGTAAAGCTACTCAGCCATTTCAGGGATCAGGACACAAGTTTGGGGGCGGTTGTGTTCTTCTAGTTGCCTTGGGGGCACTAGGTGTTGTCCTAGGGTTATAGGGTGATTAATGAAGAACACATCCTTTTACTTTTTCAGGGGATGTACAGGGAAAGA